TGGTTGCTAGCGTGATCATGACCAGGCTTCGAGTCCCGGTGGTGATGCTGATTAGGCCTAGGCCGAGACAATTAAGGCTGTTTTGGAGGCAAGGCATCGCTTTCAATTTGACTTAAGTGTTTATGTATGAGATGTATTCAGTAACATGAGATGCATTCACACAATTTCGTTTAAGGTGATGAATGTCTGGTAGAAGAAGAATTTTCCCACAATCATATGAGTTGAGCTGACGTTTCCATTCTATTTCACTACCAGTCCTACATCACCTTAAACGAAATTGGGTTAATACATTTTATATTAGTATTCGTGTTTTTCGAATTGAGTATTGTTTTCGTGACTACCATTAAATCAGTAATATGAGATGTGTTCACCCAATTTCGTGTAAGGTGATGAAGGACTGGTAGAAGAGGAATTTTCCCACAATCATATGAGCTGAGCTGACGTTTCTATTGAATTTAACCCGAATGAAATTGGGTGTTTACATCTCATATTACTGATTTGCTTGTAGTCACGAAAACAATACTTAATTCGAAAAATAAATTTCATACAGCCTCGCTTCTTGAAAGTTTTTCTCATCCAAGCAAAAGTGGACTGCATTTTTGACCTCACCCAATCTGGTATCATCAGCACCCCAAGTGGGAGTGGGTAATTGAAAGAAAGGCCGGGCATTTTCCCATATCACATTCTGTAGCAACTTTTAAGTTGCCACGGTCCACGATACACCCTTCTCCTTTTGTTCAGGTGAAAACAGACTGATCTGCGTCCGCCATGCCGTATGACAGACATCATTAGAGCTGGATCTCACTCTTTATAAAGATTTGAGCTAACGTTAAGCTGAGAATGCTAACTAGACAAAGATGTATAAATACAAATATATAAGTGAAAAGGTATAAACACGCACATATATGTATGTGTGAAAAATTATATGCATATATATTATTATATATATATATGAATAACTACGAACAATATGTATAAATATTTAAATACAAGTTACACACGCATCTATTATTTGCATATATATACGTATATTAGTGATTAAACGGGTTATATATGTATATATGATATAATAAATTATTTATATCCATGTGTGTGCTTAAATTTACATATTTGTATATTATCCCCTAGTGAGTATTCTTGACCTACCCCAAGGTTTTTGTGAGAATGAGATCCAGCTCTGATGATGTCTGTTACGTGGCATTGCCGATGAAAGCTCGGCAATGTATATAGAAAATCCTTCTTTTTTATTATATTTATATATATATATATATAATATACAAGAAGGATTTTCTATATGCGCCAGTAAATAACGACATCAGGCATCGTATTTCGGTGAGATCGACACGCAAATCTCCTCGTCGCACGCGCACAAGTTCACATAAGATGAGCATCATTACATCAGGCATATTGCGTACCGTGGCTCTAGTAGGAGTTAGACCCTACCCTTGTCATCTCATTTCATCCATGCATGTCATCAAGCCCTCCTCTCTTGTATGCTGTGGGGTTGCGTGATCGGTTTATCTACCAGCTGCCAATCGAGAATGAATAAAATGTATCCTTTTCCTGATGGATGTACCGACAAGACATGATGATTGAGAGTGCGATCAGCCAGACGACATGACTTGCCCAAGTTATTTGCCCCTTGACCGTTGGTGGGCGTTCTGAGTTTAGAATATCCTCATAAACTTCGGAAGTGAGCTATCTGGGTCAAATGAAGAAGGGGTACAAAATATGCATTTTCATTAAGTCTCACATTTAGCGGACGTTTGGACGTAGTCTCGATGAGATTAATGAAAATGGTTTGCCTCCGTTCTCGCAACATGCTCGTGGTTTTAGGGCGACTTAGGAGTGTGCCCAGTCAACGTTGCGATGTTGACAATTATACGACAAAGTCAGACTATTTTTGGAATTAAGTACTGTTTTTCGTGACTACCAGTAAATCAGTTATAAGATGTATTCACCCAATTTCGTTTTAAGGTGATGAAGG